GCGGTAGTAGGGGGTCGTTGGGCTGCGTAGCGACGGGGGGCACGCAGAGGGGGGGTTGGCGTGTGCCTCGGATTGGTCGGTGAAAGGTGGGGGGGTGAGAGCACATGGTTAAGAAAAATGGTGTGCGGCGAGTGGGGGTAGCGGTGTTGGACTGTAAGGTTGGCAGAGAGGGGGAAATTGGTGTAGAGTGATGGAAGTGACGGGACATCGTCGAGTGGGGTGAACCGGGGTAGGTCGGGGCGAGTGAGACGGAGTGCGACACGATGTGTTGGTCTTGGGGGTGGAGGGAGGGGGAAGGGAAAGGGGGGGTGGATGGTGCGGAGGCGTCTGGAGGGAGGGGAAGTTAGGCGGGGTGGCAAGACTGGTGTGGATGGGGAGGGGACTTGGAGGGGGGATATTGAGTCGGTGGGAGGATGTTGGGGGAGGGGGGAGGACGGGTACGAGATGGCGTGCAGGGGGGGGGAAAAGCGTGGGGATGAGGGGGGTGTGCGGGTGCTGGAAAGTATAGTGTGTGATGGAGGGTATGGCCTGTGACGGTGATCGTGTTAGAAGGGCGGTAGTTGTTATATGAGGGTGGATGGAAAACCCAGGGGGATTGGAGACGGACGGAATGCGGGGATAGCAGGTGGTAGAGATTAGATTGAGACAGAGGGGCCGGTAAAGTCCCAATATGCAAAGTGTCCAAATAATGTGTCCAAACAAAAGATCAGGGGCTTGATAGGAAGACGCTTCCTACTCCACTGAAGAAGATGCAAATCAATCACAGGTGCTCTCAAATTCCTCAAAAACAAAATCTCAACATAGTATATTACCTTTTAAATCCCCAGAACTAAAGGACTGTTTGACAAAGTCCGGAAGAGATGAAATGTGGGTGTCCAGGGCACGTGACATTCCCGGAAGTGCTGCGGCAGCCATTTTGGATTCTGGAATCCCTGTGTGTTGGAGGTCTGGAGAGGAACGGTGCATTCAGGTGTCCCCCAGAGCTACAAAGTGATAGTGCTGGATAGGAGTAGCAAGGGGGAATTACCTGGTGATCGGGAGACTCCTCTACACACGGAAAGGGGATCGCATACTGGGCATGAGGAGTTGGATGCTGTCTTGCTGATCTTATCGTTTTTATATGTAAGTGGCTACAATAAATTTTATATATGATTATAATTCACATACTGATTCCTCGTCTGTTTGTGAGGTCCTGAGGAACAAGAGGATACCAATCTAAGGACACTCTGTACATATGTGGTTGATTACAAGCTGGAATTTGTTTGTTTTAGGGTAATTATGCCCTTTATATATAGTTTGCAGTGATATTTATAAATTTAAATATTTTTTTTTTTTTTTCCTCTCACATGAGTGCTGTGACACTGGAGTGTTTTTTTGCATGATACACGTGTGGCACTTTAGTTCTGGGATTTAAAAAGGTAATATACTATGTTGAGATTTTGTTTTTTGAGGAATTTGAAGAGCACCTGTGATTGATTTGCATCTTCTTCAGTGGAGTAGGGAAGCGTCATCCTATCAAGAAATTTATCTTTGGGCTTTTTGGACACATTATTTGGACACTTTGCATATTGGGACTTTATTTATTTTTGTTCTTTTATATATATTTGATATTTTTTATTTTTTTTGGGTAATCTTTTTGGGTTTTGATACCTCCTGCAATCAGCCTCAGGTGATGGCCTGATTGCAGGAGTGAGATTCTGGCTGCTGAGAGCACCCGCTGGCCAGCCTTGGTACTGCAGCCCACAAGGCAGGTGAGTCCAACCACCATTGGCGAGTCCATTCCTGCCACCAACCCCACCACCTTCACGACCGTTGGGCCTGGGTGAGTGGGTCCAGGTGAGACCTCCGTAGGAGAGTGCAGCAGGGGAGGTAGAGTCAGTGGCCTGGATCCAGGTTTCTGTAATCGCTAGGAGGTTGAGGGAGTGGGAAACAAAGAGGTCGTGGATGGCGGTAAGCTTGTTGCACACCGATCGGGCGTTCAGGAGTGCACATGAAAACGGGGGGGAGATTTTAGGGAGCAGGGGGACAGATACTAAGTTGCGGGGGATGCGGCAGGACGTGGAGGCGGGAGGGTGTTGTGTGGGTGAGGGAGGTGGTGGAGGGCCAGTATTCAGGGAGATGTCCCCCACGGTAAGGAGGAGGAGAAGGGTGAGAAAGGTGGCATGTGAGCGGGATGTGCAGGAGCGTGAGAAACTACTAGTGGAGGTGTTCGGGTCAGTGGGAGAGTGGAGTATTAGGAGGAGGTGGTGGGTGCCGTAGAGGGGTGAAGGAAGCAGTGAGGACACAATATACAATTGTTTGGGAGGAGCAGAGGGATATAGTGAATGGATTTTGGGAACGGAGGAGAGGAAAATGAGCAAGGAGGGTAGTGGAAGAAGCATTTTGGGGAGGTGCCCGGGAGGGCGGATAGGAGTGGTGGGAGGCTTGGTTGTCGATAGTCCAGAGGGCAGAGGCGTATCTCATCGATATGTCTTCTGGTGGCTGGAGTTTAGGGGAGAAGGGGGAGGGGATCAGGTGTGGATGGACGGTTTCCAGGGGCGCTTGAGTGGTGAAAGTCTGGGGTGCAGAGGGGTCTCTCGGTGTGGTGGCTTTCAACAAGGGTTCGTCTTTAGGTCAAGTTGAGCAGGGGGGTTAGTGGAGGTGCTGAAGGCCCAGCGTCTGGAGGTGGAGTGGGCTAGGTGTTGGTAGGCGCAGTAGGGCCGGCGTCAGTGGGTGTTGTGGGCCAGTGCATGTGGATGCTGTGGGCCAGCGACTGAGGGTGCTAAGGGGCCTGGCATCAGTGGGTGCAGGAGGCTGTGTGGCAGGCTCGCCTCTGCCAGATAATAAACATCAAAAAGCCAAAAGTAAAACAGAACCTAGACAGATCAGTTGTGAGTACAGCAGCTCCAACTGCTTCTTGGAGGACAAACCTGCAGGATTTGCAATAGTATACGAAGTCAATAGAACCAAAGTGTACTGTATGAACTATCAAAATGCCATGTTAGCACCACCACAAGACCCCAAAGCTTGTTAATGGAATTATAAACATTGGGCCAATGTAAATCCAAATGACCTGCCATAGGAAAGTCCCTACTACAAAACATCAGGATCCACTGAAAGAAATAAATGTAAAGACAACAAATGAAACCAAAATTAAAAGTCCAAATAAATCAGATTCAGCATATGACCAGAACACTAGATCCAATAAAAGGTAATGTTTATTAGAAAGGATTGAAACCATGAAAAAAAGGAAATAAAAAATAATGAGTAATCCAGATTGTGGTGGTTTTATGTAATAATTTATTCTAAATATGTAGGGCTGTCAGGGCTCCCGGGTATGACCAGAGGTGTGTGACTGACGCAGGGAAACTCAGACTTCAGATATGTTATAAACAATGTAATTTATTAACACTAACCATACAAACATAAACGCAGTGCAATACTAAAACATAACACAGTGCAAACAAACCAACCAACCACCCACAGATAACAGTACATACAATGCAAGCGTCGTCAGGCAGGCCGGGTCAATATCAGTTGGGCAGGTAGGTACAGGGGGAGCAAGCGGAGAATGGTCGGGGTCACAGGCCAGGTTCAGCGGGGCAGCGTGGTACAGAGGGTCAGGCAGAGGAGAATGGTCAGACAAGCCAGGGATCAGAGCAGGGTCAGCAGAGAATCAGACAGGAACAGAGAGCAGGAACATGATACAGGGCCCAAGAGAAACACAACACCAAGGCAGAGTCTGCAGGTCTGAATGTCCCTTAAATACACCAGTATAATTAGTTCCAGGTGTTTGACTGGCTGCAAGGTTGAGTCTCTGATTGCTGGGAGCACCCGCTGGCCAGCCCTGGTACTGCAGCTCATAAGGCAGCTGAGTCCACTATTGCTGGCCAGTCCATTCCTGACAGTACCCCCCCCTCAAGGAGCAGCCCCAGGACGCTCCAAACAGTCCTAGCTGGGCAAAATGTTCCACCGCCCGGGTCTGGTAACTGGCGGGATATCAAAGACTGGCATACCGGGCAGGACTCCGGGCAGCGGCACATCAGGCTGGACTCCGGGCAGAGGCACTCCGGGCAGCGGCACACCGGGGCAGAGGCACATCGGGCTGGACTCCGGGCAGAGGCACATCGGGCTGGACTCCGGGCAGAGGCACATCGGGCAGGACTCCGGGCAGAGGCACATCGGGCTGGACTCCGGGCAGAGGCACATCGGGCTGGACTCCGGGCAGAGGCACATCGGGCAGAGGCACACCGGGCAGAGGCACATCGGGCAGAGGCACACCGGGCAGAGGCACACCGGGCTGGACTCCGGGCAGAGGCACATCGGGCAGGACTCCGGGCAGAGGCACATCGGGCAGGACTCCGGGCAGAGGCACATCGGGCAGAGGCACACCGGGCAGAGGCACATCGGGCCGGACTCCGGGCAGAGGCACATCGGGCCGGACTCCGGGCAGAGGCACATCGGGCCGGACTCTGGGCAGAGGCACATCGGATTACCAGGCGAAGCAGCAGGCACCGGGCCACCAGGCGGAGCAGCAGGCAGTGGGCCACCAGGCGGAGCAGCAGGCACGGGCCACCGGGCGGAGCAGCAGGCAGCGGGCCACCGGGCGGAGCAGCAGGCAGCGGGCCACCGGGCAGAGCAGCAGGCAGCGGGCCCCGGGCGGAGCAGCAGGCAGCGGGCCCCCGAGCGGAGCAGCAGGCAGCGGGCCCCCGGGCGGAGCAGCAGGCACCGGGCCCCCGGGCGGGGCAACAGGCACCGGGCCCCCGGGCGGGGCACCAGGCACCGGGCCCCCGGGGTTTCGGGGCGACCGGCATCGGGCCCCCAGGCGGAGCGGTGGGCGCCGGGCCCCGGGAGGGGCGACGGGCGTCGGGCCCCCGGGAGGGGCGCGACGGCGTCGGGCCCCCGGGCGGGGCGACAGGCATCGGGCCCCCAGGCGGGGGCAACAGGCATCGGGCCCCCAGGCGGGGCGACAGCATCGGGCCCCAGGCGGGGGCGACAGGCATCGGGCCCCCAGGCGGAGCGGCGGGCGCCGGACCCCCAGATGGAGCGACAGGTCTCGGGCCCTCAGGCGGAGCGGCGGGCGCCGGACCCCCAGGTGGAGCGACAGGTCTCGGGCCCTCAGGCGGAGCGGCGGGCGCCGGACCCCCAGGTGGAGCGACAGGTCTCGGGTCCTCAGGGCGGAGCGGCGGGCGCCGGACCCCCAGGTGGAGTGAGTCTCGGGCCCTCAGGCGGACAGGTCTCGGGCCCTCAGGCGGAGCGACAGGTCTCGGGCCCTCAGGCGGAGCGACAGGTCTCGGGCCCCCAGGCGGGAGCGGCGGGCGCCGGACCCCAGGTGGAGCGCCGGACCCCAGGCGGAGACAGGTCTCGGCCCCCAGGCGAAGCGTCGGGCACCGAGTCACCAGGCACGACAGTGGGCTCCGAATCAACTGGCATGACCGCTGGCACTGGGTCAGACATTGGATCGTCTGGCTGGACAGCGGGCATCGGGTCACCAGGCATCAGGTCATTTGGCTCGACAGCGGGCACCGCGTCATCTGGCAAGGCAGTGGGCTCCGAGTCAACTGGAATGAGCGCGGGCACTGGGTCAGACATTGGATCGTCTGACTGGACAGCGGGCATCGGGTCACCAGGCATCAAGTCATTTGGCTCGACAGCGAGCACCGCGTCATCTGGCAAGGCAGTGGGCTCCGAGTCAACTGGCATGACCGCGGGCACTGGGCAGACATTGAATCGTCTGGCTGGACAGCGGGCATCGGGTCACCAGGCATCAAGTCATTTGGCTCGACAGCGGGCACCGCGTCATCTGGCAAGGCAGTGGGCTCCGAGTCAACAGGCACGACAGTGGGCACCGGGTCATCAGGTACCGGATTGTCTGGCTCGACAGCGGGCATCGGGTCACCAGGTATGACAGCGGGCACTGGGTCACCAGGCATCAGGTCATTTGGCTCGACAGCGGGCACCGCGTCATTGGCAAGGCAGTGGGCTCCGAGTCAACTGGTATGACCGCGGGCACTGGGTCAGACATCGGATCGTCTGACTGGACAGCGGGCATCGGGTCACCAGGGATCAGGTCATTTGGCTCGACAGCGGGCACCGCGTCATCTGGCAACAGGCACGACAGTGGGCACCGGGTCATCAGGTACCGGATTGTCTGGCTCGACAGCGGGCATCGGGTCACCAGGTATGACAGCGGGCACCGGTCACCAGGCATTGGATCGTCTGGCTCGACAGTGGGCATCGGGTCACCAGGTATGACAGCGGGCCCTGGCTCACCAGGCATCAGGTCATTTGGTGGCTCGCCAGCGGGCACCGCGTCATCTGGCAAGGCAGTGGGCACCGAGTCACCAGGTACGACAGCGGGCTCTGAGTCAATTGGCACGACAGCGGGCACCGGATCAGGTACCGGATCATCTGGATCAACAGCGGGCATCGAGTCAACTGGCCTAATAGGATCGTCAGGCTGGATCAGTTCATCATGCTGGGGTAGAGGCATCAGGCTGAATGCCCGGCGTCCGGCTGAGTCAGGCATCAGGCTGATTAGAGTGCTTACAGCTGAGTAGAGGCCTCAGGCTGAGTAGAGGCATCAGGCAGAGTAGAAGGCATTCAGGCCAAAGTAAGAGGCATCAGGCCGGAATAGAGAGCATCAGGCTGAATAGCAGGCTTCAGGCCGAGTAGGAGGCTTTCAGGCCGAGTAGAGGCATCAGGCTGAATAGATGCATTAGGCTGAGTAAGAGTCTTTAGGCTTGGAGTAGATAGCTTCAGGCCGAGTAGAAGGCATCAGGCCGAATAGAGGCTTCAGGCCGAGTAAGAGGCTTCAGGGCTGAGTATAGTCATCAGGCTGCAGAGAGTCATCAGGCTGCGTACAGGAGCATCAGGCCGGAGTAGAGGGCCAATAAGGCTGCGTACAGGCATCAGGCATTGAGTACATGGGCATCATGCTGAGGACAGCAATCAGGGCTGAGTAGAGGCTTCAGGCTTGAACCACGGAAGGCAGGTTCACCGGTTTGGGATACTGGCAGGATGGTATTGGTTAGGAAAGAGAATTTTCGCATTTATTCTGGTATTAACTACTGGAGCACTGCAAGTAATCGCAGGTCTGCAAACGAATGGAGCAGCTGGAGACAGAGAAGAACTGGTGGGATTGGCAACAGGAGAAGGAGCAGTTGCTAACAGAGGGCTTTATTTACAGGGTTAAAGGCAGGATAGGTGCATGGCCGAGTGGGAACAGGGTACTGACATTCGGAAGATAGCAGGGCGGATGAGCTGTGTGAATGCAAGGAATAGAGGTTTAGAGAAATAGAATAGAAGCAGGACTGGGTTTTTTGTAGCGACTGACAGGCTGGGTGCAACAAGTCGTCCATGTCTGCAGTATGGGTTGAACAAAGCTGAGCTTACACAAAGCCCTGACTGGACATACTGACTGGCACTGCGTTTTATACTAACTCTATTAGTGACTGAGGGTGAAGCATGCAGAATAACCGCTCCAGAAAGTAATCCACAACATCCTTAATAACCATACCAGGGACTCTACCTGTCTGCACCTAAATGGTGGCAAAAATACATCCCTGCATTCGGGGTAACCAGATGAAACAATCTCAGCACAAACCTCAATCAAAGGCTGCACCTCAGAGAACTCTGTGCCCTGATCTACTAGAACATGTAGCGAGCCGTATACATTCTAGCAGTTCATCCGGGTATACTCCGTGCAGAGTTTGATAGAGCGATACCCCTGTCATCAAACACTAGCAGATAAAAAATACGTAACCTCATCCGATCCATCCTTCCCACAAAAAGCAAGATGGCTTCCCCGTGCAGCCACTTTGGTCAGGGTTGGCCCTTTGGTGAAGTCAGGGCTCCCCGGGGATGACCGAGGTGGTTTATGACCAGGGAAACGCAGACTTCAGATATGTTTTAAACAAAAGTAAATTTTTTAACACAACCAACAAACATAAAAGCAGTGCAATATAAAACATAACACAGTGCAAAAAAAACCCAAACCCCCCCACAGATAACAGTACATACAAAGCAAGCGTGGCAGGGGGGCCGGGTCAAAAAATCAGTCGGGAGGTAGGTACAGGGGGAGCAAACGGGGTGGGCGGGGGACAGGCCCCGGTCAGCAGGGGGAGGGGCGCGTGGTCAGAGGGTCAGGCAGAGGGAATGGCAGACAAGCCAGGGAAACAGAGCGGGTCAGCGAGAATCAACAGGGAAAAAGAGCAGGGAAAATGATACGGGCCCAAAAGAAAACAAAAAACCAAGGGAAGGGCTGCAGGTCTGAATGCCCCCTTTAAAAACACCCGTTAAATTTGTTTCCCGGTGTTTGATGGGGGAAGGGTTGATCTTGATTTCTGGGGGCACCCCCCTGGCCAGCCCCGGGTTGGGATATAAGGCGTGAGTCCCATATTGTGGCCAGTCATTCCGACAAGGGCGGGGGTCCCTTCCCTTAAAAAAAATATGAGTGCCCCACGTTTTAAAATACGGCAAATATTAATGAACAGTAATTTGGACACCTTAATAATTTTTATCACCACTTAATAAAATCCGAGTCCTTTTCCGTAAATTTCCACCCGATACACAAAAAATTCTCTTTTTTTTAAAAAAAATAAATTTTGACAAAATGATAAATATATTCTACAAAGAACATATGGTGATAAATGTATACTTTACATACAATCAAAAAAAAGACAGGCTAATTTCATATGATCCCAACAATATATGATTTAGTAAAAGTAAAAAAGGAAAAATTAATTTATGTTTAAGTTATAACCTTATAGTGTTCAGAAAATTTTTTCAAATTTTCAGGCCAGAGAAAAAAGAAAAAGTACTTGATTTTAAAATTTACTACAAAAAAATACCAATCATTAAAATATGCAAAATATACCTAATACCCAAATTAAATAAAAATTTTTTATATAATTATGTATAAAATCTTAATATTCCTAAAAACACAATACAAATGTATAAGTCTTTGGAAAATTGGAAATATCAAATAAAATACAATATCCTAGCAGTTCCCCCCATCCTGAACCTTGATTTTTGAGGCCCCCCCGGGGAGCAGTTGGGGCCTTCAAATGGTCCTAAGACAAAATGGAGCTGGACTCCTTCAGCAAAATGGCCGCAGGTAGCAAGTGAGAGATAGTGCAGTCTTGATTGTAGTGTTTTGAGTAGAGTGTAGTATTTTATAAGGGAAAGTAGACAGAAGAAAATAGTTTAGATAGTCTGACTGTTGGTAAAAGTCTAGATCAAAATTTTAAAAGAAAAAGTTAGAAGTGTAGAAGTTTTAAGTTTGAAATTGTTTTTAGATTTTTAAAGTGTTCAGATTTTTAAGTGTGGGTGATGGCCTTTTTATACCCTACAATCCTTTGTTTCAAAGACCCCCCAACAGGTTGTTGATTGGCCCCGGTCGAGAGTGTCGTACTTAAAGGGTATTTCTCCCTGGTGGACTCAGGCATCCAAAAAAATTTTTGTGTTTAAAGATGACTCGCTTTAATTGAAACCAAAATTCTTTAGGTATTAAATATTAAATTTTTATTCAAGTTAGTTGATTTCACACTAATTCTTGGTAAGGACCCAGAAAAAATATACATACATTCGGTTTTCATTTTTCCCTGATATTTAAACTGTTTTTAGATAGCTGATTTCTTTGGGAAAAGTACAATTGACACCAAATTTACAAATCATCTTATTCTTCACATTTTACCCTTAATTGATTTGGGATGCCCTCCCAACTTTTTTTGAAATTTTTGGTGTGTGGAAACATACCTTTTTTAAGATCTTATTGATATAAACCACATTTTTCTTTGTATCTTAACTGACCGGTTTTTACCTGGGTAAAATTCATTTATGGAATGTGACGGAAAAACCTTATCCATTGTTGAGAAATTTAAAGGAAAATAGACTGCCTGGGTTAAAACCTTATTTAAAAGCTTTTTGTCACATTTCAAGGAACGGTTTTTATCACACTTTCCAAGGTTTTGGGAGTTTTCAGACATCAGGTTTGGTTCCCCCATTGTCACCCCAACCCCTTGTATATGTTCACCTGCAGAATCCAATGTGGTTTTTACTTATAATTAAGTTTCCTGCAAAGGGGGTCTCCAAGCTTCCCTAGACAAGGGTATTGTTTAATGACATATTTGCAAGGTCTTAGAATAACCAGAATCAGATCCCACCCATTGTTTTTTTTCGGTACTCTTGTTTGGGTGTTTTGGCTCACCTGAGAAATTCAAATAGTAGTGTTTGTCTCATTGTTTTTTAAACAATCTCTTCCCTCACTGGTTTTTGTAACTTCCTAGAAGGTCATTTGAATTTAAAAAAGAAGGGTTTAACCCAAAAACTAGCAGGTTCACAATTTTGGAAAAAAATTAATTTTTTAATAAATAGCCCCCAAAAGTCACAAAAAAAAATAGAATGCAATAAAAAACCCAAAAAGCTAAGGGAGTCAATCAAAGATAAATATAGGTGGGTATACAAATATTTAAAAATGAAATGGGTACACGAAAGATGAGTCCTATCGGGGTTTTAACATCTGATGCATGAGGGAAAAAAAATCACGTGCTGGGCACCATCCCCCAAAGGGTAAAAGAAATGATATTTGAGGAAATTATATGGGGGGGGGAAGAGGAGTTGAAATGGGTAACACATGACCCCAGGGGGACTGAAAAAAAAAAAGTGTAAATTTATAAAGATTCTGAGAGGGGAAAAGTTTTCGTAAAAATGTGTAAGGTCCCCTCATGGTTAAAAACCTTTTGGGTTTTGGCGTGTCCAGTTTAAATTTTCAATATACTTTTTCCCACGAGGGCCTCAGTTCTCCTCTCTTGGGTTTTTCCACCCATCCACAACCAATATTGCCTGTAGGGATTGTAGGCAAGTCAAATGATGGTGGAAAAAAGTGTCTAGCTATTTGGTATTTGTGTGTATATATTTTTAATTGATCCCATACGATTGCACACATAACCATTCACGCAGAATAACATTTCTAATAAACATTGGGTCAAAGGGCTAAAATCCTAGATCCATAAACCTCAATGTTTTTAAATTCCATTAATGGGCAGTTTGTTTTGTTTTTGTGATGGCGCTAACATGCCTTTTTAAATGACTTAGTAGTTTGCAAACCCTGCGATTTGCCCTCTGAGAAGGTGGCCCTATGCGCCATAACTTTAATTTTACAGGTTTTATAATAGCGCCAACATTTTCCCTCAGCGCTTTACAATATACGGGAGAAATCAGCAACAATACATTTTCAATACAAGGGGATAGGAGGGCCCTGCTCCTCGGAGCTTGCAATTAGGAGGGGGGGGCTAGTGGTAAAAAAGGTAGAAATGGGGGGGGGGATTAAGGGAAAAGAGTAAAGATTCCATTATTAGCTGGGGCAGAATGGGTTTTCCCCTGAAAAAAATAGGTTTTCAGAGATCGCCTAAAAGTGGCAGAGGGGTTTAGTCTGAAAA